TGATCTGAGCCAGAGTCAGCTCCTGGTCTTGTTTTTGCTGACTGTTTAGAGCTTCTCCATCTTTGGCTGCAAAGAATATAATCAATCTGATTTCGGTGTTGACCATCTGGTGATGTCCATGTGTATGTGGTAATGTCTGGCAATCTCTTAGGTTAGGGCTTTTCTCGGGACAGTTCTCTTTCTCTCTCTGTGGCTATCCCACAGTCTGGGTTGCCATGTCACATCAGCTCCCTCAGATTGCCCTTGGGGCATTCAGGCCCAGTCCTTGCCCTAAGCAATGCAGCCCACACCTCCCGGTTCAGCCCCCACTTGCTGGTGGTGGATGCCAGCATCTGGGCTACTTTTTTGTTGGGAGTTGCCGTTAGGCACATAGTCTGTGGGTTTTAGTTATTTATATATTTATTTTTCCTTCCAGTTATGTTGTGCTCTGAGATTCCAAAACTCCCCACAGACCCGCTATGAGAGTCTTTCCTGGTGTTTGGAAACTTCTCCTCTTTTAAGACTCCCTTCCCAGGACGGATCTCTGTCCCTGCTTCTTCTGTCTCTCTTTTTATCTTTTATATTTTGTCCTACCTACTTTCAAAGACAATGGGCTGCCTTTCTGGGTGCCTGATGTCCTCTGCCAGCATTCAGAAGTTGTTTCGTGGAATTTGCTCAGCGTTCAAATGTTCTTTCGATGAATTTCTGGGGGAGAAAGTGGTCTCCCCGTCCTATCCTCTGCAATCTTAGGACCACCCCTGAGACTTGAATCTCGATTCTACCTCCACAGCAAGCTCACTTTCCATTCTGCTTCAGACCCAGGCTGCGAATGGAACAGGACTGAATATTTATGTGTTTGTTTTTTTTTTAATCTTTCCTCTTGCAATCATCCCTGCTACCATTCCAATATTGTCCCATTGATATTTATTTCTCTGAATAAAATGTCTTACTAATTTAAGAAGTATTGGGGCCAGAATAGAATTTCTACTTAAAGTATTTTTATTCTTATAATTATTATTCTATACCCACAAACTTTCAAAATTTCACTTTTTAACATTCAAACCCTAATTGGAACATGAGGAAACACTGACCTAAATCTTGTCAGGACTGTTTAAGAAAGATGAGGTTATAAAGCTAACCTGTTTAACAGTCCCTGGCAACCCGCTGGAGTATTACTATCCGGGAAATCCCACAGACAGGAGTCTGATGGACTACAGTCCACAGGGGTGCAAGAGTTGGACACGACTGAACAACCGAGCACCATACTTTTCGTGGCTACAGTATGTATTTTTATTGGTCACAGAACCAACAAGAACTCTAACACCAACCAATGTACATTACGAAAGGTCCATCTAGGCCTGAAAATAAAAGTATAGGGCTTAATGTCTATTTTGCTTTCCGTCTATGCTCAAGAGTAGCTGGACGTATAGCTTTGTAGCAACTGATAGAGCTTTCTTCCTGAGTATTCTTATTAAAGCTGAAGAATGAATGAATACATTTGGAATACATGAATACCTTTGGGTAGTTTTAGAAATAAAATAATCAGGTTAAGAGCAGGGAAACCAGGGTGCATAAAACAACTCAACCCATATAAACATGTATCTTTTTAACATTTGTACATATTAATTAGGAGAATCTCTTCCTGAATTTAGGAATGCATTTGCTTTCTTCATCATCTCCTTTGAAAATGATGGCAGTATGATGTCAAGGCAGGAAGAGCCTAAGGCAAAGTGATGACATTCCTTCAGGAATGCACAGCTTCTGGAGGCTGCAAAATCAAATGGAGAATGGGGGTGGGGTCTGCTTGTTGGGGAGGTGACTGATGTCTAGGCTGCCTTAGGCCCTTTGAAGGAGGGAAATTACCTTTATTAAGGCTGCTATGTGACATGTCTTGCACGGAGTAGTACATTATGGTATGTAGTCCAGTGAGGTATAAGTAGCATCATTTATGTTAAGTTTGAGCAAACTGAAGCTCAAAGAGTTTAGAATAGGAGCCTTCTGGTTCTCTCACCCAGCACCACAAGTGGCTCACCCACTTGAATGGACATGGTGATGCACTCACTATGTCTCAGAAAAGCCAAGTGGATGGCATTTTAAAATATTTCGTTAAATTCTTCTGTTTATTTTTCTACAACTTGACTCCTCTATTGACTTCTTCAGCTGGCTACTTAAGCAGGTTATTTAAGGAAATATTAAGCAGGTTCATTGAGCAAATATCAGGAAAACATTCATAGCTGGGCACGAGAAACTTTGAACTCAATTTTTCATTGCTGATCACTCTTTCTTGGAAAAGCCCTTCATTGGATTCCTTTGACAGGGGCTGTTGGTAGTTAAAATTCATCTTTGGGTTAGCTGAGTAAGGTGTTACAGAAAAATGGCCACCTGTAATCTTAGCACATAGTCTGCATTTAATGACTACTTCCCAAGGACAGTGAGGCCAGGAAGTCAGCCTTGGAGCTGACTGAGGGGTGTGGCCTCCCAGAGAAGAGCTCCAGAGGCTGACTGAAAAGCAGGGTCAGGCAGGATATCACATGAAAGGCGATTCTTTTGATGAGAGAAAATTGGGCATGACTGGGTACTCAGAAAGCCAAACAGGAAATTGAACAGAGGGAGGAAACTTACTACAAAAGTAAATGATAACCAAATGCTGCTTGATTTGAATACTAAATATGTTTGGCTTTTAAAATGAGATCTGATACCAGAATCCACTAATAATACTTCACATTAGGAAACCTGTATAGCTACAGGTTAAGTGCCTCATGACACAGGACAAAGGGAATAGACAGCACTCTCTGGGGAATACTGTCACAGGAAGAATCAACCCTGAGTCTGATCACGCCTCTAGGTTCAACTACTGGTTTGCAGAATATGGGGAAGAAGAACATGTTAACACTACAAGGATGCAATGAGTCCGTTTCAGAATGTGGGGAATTCTATATAACAAATGGTTCAGTTTCTCTCTTTCAGCCACTGCAATGAACATGCTAATGATGTAAGTGGTGGAAATCAGGCTAAATAAGCTAAACTACTACTAGTGAAAATCTCTCTTCTACATTAGATACAGACAAGAAGACAGTTAGTAAGAGTTCTGCAAAAAACTGGCCCTTTTGGTGTAGCTCCAGGACTCGAGAGGACAACCAACACCCACGTCTACCACCCACAAAGCCAAAACAGCTCTTTGGAGCTCCTCTTGAGGATGTATGTGTTAATGACACCCTGCCCACCCCAATTCTGGTAGGTCTTATTTTGGTTTTCTGTATCCTTACTGCGGAGGGGAGTTCTGAGAGATCAAGTGTCCTCTTCCAAATCTACTCCCAAATGAAGAAGTCTAGCTTTGTCTGATAAGTTTCCTAATATTACTTCAAAGAATAAGGTCTGATTTACGTACTGCAGAGCTAGAAGGCAAATACCAGATGAAAAGATACTCTCATTCATTCCACTGATTTCAACAAAGACGCATCTATACAGCTCAGACCAGTTAAAATGGACTCTGTAAGGTAAGGGAGTTAGAGAAGGCAAGGTTTGGAAAAAGATTGAGACCGGCACTTTACAGGAACAGGTCACCTTTAATGAGGCGAGAAGGGACAGCAGTCAAATTAGTGAGCTGCTGCACCACCCCAAGAAAAGAGTAAGTATAAACAGGCATGTATGTGGAAAGCTACTGTCTTAAGGGGGCCTGTTCTGCAAGGTTGTTCAGAGCAGTTATCTCTTACACAGCTGGGGCAAGGAATTTTGGACACTGGCCAAAGGCTGGGACTGGCTGGGAGCTGGGCGTAATCAACCTAAGGTCCATTTTTTTCTTCGGGTGACAGAGTTCTTTATTTTGCATAGAATGGTGGGGAGAACCTGGAGGGGAGTTTTAACTCCAGGCTATTTTGAGCTGTGTAACTTTCCTTCAGACTCTGTGTGTAAGAATCTCTGAGAGTCCACCTCATCCTCATATTGTCTCCTGTCTCCTCCCTTGAAGTCGACACTAGTCTCAAGTCTCCTTCAGCTGAGTCTACCCCGCCTTATGATTCAAAATGTCTCACACGGATTTGATTTGTAACTCAAGTGTTTCAGCATAAAGTACTCATCCTCTGGCAAAAATGAATCATTTGATCCTGACAGAATGTGTCAAAATAAAGTCACAGTTTGGACTGTGCTATATCAAATTAGTGTATTGAACTGTAAGCATTAACACTTGTTCACTGTCCACTATCTCTCCAAGCACTACACTAGATGCAGGGAATTTTATGGTATATATGAAGAAATTTATCATACTAGTTTGGTGCTAGCACTACCCCAGACCTTGTGTCTTTCACAGAAAATTTAGGGGGTAGCTATGATTATCATCACCCCCACTTCATAAATGAAAATCAAAAGAGCCTCACCCAAGTATGTGCTATGCCTAAAGTCACACAGTGGATAAGTAGCAAAACAGATTCCACATTCCTTGAAACACCTGGCTCCAGTATCTGTTATCTCTCTACTCTGCAGACAGCAGACTACATGAAAATACAGAAAAAGGAACTGGAAAGGCTGATGAGAAAGAAATGTGAGCGGAGAAGGAGGAGAGGCATGTTGAGCCTGATTTTGAGGGGACGGAATACAGGAAATAGGAATGAATGGGGTGGACAGTCCGGAAAGGGGAATACACAAATGGAGCATGAATATGGCAAAAAGATTTCCACACTTAGGGAAGAGCATCTATAATAGGGAATAATGAGAAAGGAGCGGTGAAGGAGGAGAGGGTGAATCTACAAAGGCCTCAAAGCAGAGACGTTTAACAGGGTAAATTCACTGAAGCAGAAAATCTGATGACACAAGTGTTTAAAATGTTTCAGGGTATGAATGCCCAATCGATGGTTGGGTAGAAAATATATTTAGAGACACTGAAGAAAAAATTTCAAGTTGACTTCGGTCCAGTTCCAGCACTGTACCCTCATACACCACAGCTCTGTCAAAAGAGGAGCAAGCTTGTGCTCTGGGCTTGTAGATATGAAACGTCCCATACTTTTCTTTTCTTTCGTTCCCTATAGGATATGCTTTCCTTTATCAATCAAAAAGGGCCATTCACAGAAGGCATCTTCAGAAAATCTGCCAGTATAAAATCATGCAGAGCCCTAAAGGAGAAACTAAACTCTGGGGACAAAGTGAACTTGGATGATGAATCCCTTCTTGTGGTAGCATCCGTCTTAAAGGTAAGGAAGGTTTGAGCACTATCCACACACAGAGTAAATCTGAAGCTATATGACTGGCCCTTCATTATGACTGCCCAAGAAACATAATAGGCATAAGAGAGGAAGGATTTGAAAAAGTGAAAAACACTTCACAAAGCCAAAATTGAAGGAAGGTACCTCAAATATTATAAGCCCCATATATTAGATATTTTCCTTTTTCATTGCACATCTTGACTCCTGAACACTCCATGCAAAAGAATAATAATAAATTTCAAAATACACACTTATACATAGAGTGTTTACCAAAACAAGCTTCCTGCTTTTGATGACTTCCTCATCATCTTTCTAATGAAGGCAACATTTCCAAAATAAAATTCGTATTAAGCTTTTGGAAATAGTTAACAGAAGTAACTTCCCAAGTGGCTCAGACAGTAAAGAATCCTGCAATGCCGGAGACCTGGGTTCGATCCCTGGGTTGGAAGGATCCCCTGGAAAAGGGACTGGCATACCGACTCCAGGAATCTTGCCTGGAGAATCCCATGGACAGAGGAGTCTGGCAGGCTATAGTCCATGGGATGGCACAGAGTCAGACACGGCTAAAGCAACTCAGCATGGATGCAAGACACATGGTTACTTACTGTGGTAAACTCATGTATGTGTGTGTGTGTGTGTGTGTGTTAGTCGCCTAGTCGCATCCGACTCTCTGTGATCCCATGGACTGTAGCCCACCAGGCCCCTTGGTCCATGGGATTCTCCAGGCAAGAACACTAGAGTGGGCTGCCATGCCCTTCTCCAGGAGATCTTCCTGATTCAGGGATCGAACCCGCAGCTCTTGCATCTCCTGCATTGGCAGGCAGGTTCTTTATCACTAGCACCACCTGGGAAACCCATTTGACTTATAGTGAATCAAAAAATGCTTAGTGAGGCCACCAAATTCTCTGATCACTTCATCATCCTTCCTTCCCCTGTCTCTCAATGCCTTTTACTTTAAAATTAGTGTAGGGATGACTCCACCATTTGTTCCTCCTTTTATCTCCCTTAACATCTTTAATACCCTTTGTTAATATTTGTATGTTTAACCCACCACCCAAGGTTACAGTTACATGGTAACCAGTTTTATTACATGCCTCATCTTATAAATCTTATTTTTAAAGTGAGTGCAACAGTCAAAATCAGTTTGGAATTTTGAAAATTCAATAGATTCATACAAAAAAAACACTGAGTTTGAAATGATACAGCTGAATCACAAGTGTGTGTAGTTAAATCTCTACCAGGGCAATAATAGAACAGGAAAAAAATTTATAGTCAATTCATCTTGATACTTGTTAGCAGCTATGAACAAAAATATATTGATGTAGTAATAACTACAGACAGGTTATTAAAATTATCATAGAAACTAAACATATGGTCTTTCCTTGTCGCCTATTAATGTTCGATTGTATGATAATAGCAACAGTGCAGATACAACTTAGAGTTGACCCCTACTACACTTGCACCATAATAATACACACTAGGTATGCAAATAGCAAGTGGAGCGCTACCGTCTATAAGGTGCACCCTTGGAACTGATTTGATTTTTGAGCAAGATTTACTAGGCTCTTGCCTATTTCCATGCTATAAGCACAGACTAGTAAGAGGGTGGCTACTTATGGGTACAGGTCTTACACAATCCCAAAGTTTTCTTTTCCTAAAATTGATTGATCTTCATGGGGAATCAGACTTTGCAACCTCAGCATTGATAATACCATATGTCAAAGCAACCATAGAGTTGGTCTAAATCAGAAATGAATATATAGTCAGAACCACATTGAGTTTTCCATTAAACTGTCTATAAACAGAGATCCAACAGCAAATACCCATGGCATATTCTGCATGAGTCATGTCCTGGCTTAACCATACTCAGTCTCACCAATTGATTCTACAGCACAGGGTCCAAGAGAGAGAAGAGACACACTCTCCAAGTGCATGTAGTTTGGTACCCAAGGCAAAGGCCTGCTGCACACTCCCAGACTCCCAGAAGCCAAAGCCAGCTGAGGTGGTTGAATGGCATCACCAACTCGATGGACATGAATCTGAGCAACACCCAGGTGTTGGTGATGGACAGGAAAGCCTGGTGTGCTGCAGTCCATGGGGTCACAAAGTAGGACATGACTGAACGACTGAACTGAAATGGAGTGCTTCCTCCTTCCAAATATACTGTGGACTCTCCATAAGAAGCATAGTGAAAACCTAATGACCATGATTGGGTACTGTGTACCAATTACAAGAAAAAGTATGAGAGGACTGAGACTTTGTCTCTGTCCTCAGTACTCAAAAGAGGGCCTGACACAAACAGCAGCTCAATAAGTACTGAAACAAGTGAACACTGACTGGATTACAATCATGATAGTTGCCCAGAAACCTTGCCTGAACAAGATACTATTAAGAGAAGTCAGGTTCTATATTAAGACCAGTGGAAGCAAGTTGTGCCTTTGAAACTGGCAAGGCAATGCAATCATTTCCCCTCAGTCTTGCAAAACAGTTTACAACTTCATCTATTTTAATAGGCCCCATTCTATGATACTAAGACTTCACTGATGAACTTTCCAGGCCTCCACTTAGGAAACTTATATTTGCATATTCTATCCCATAGGTGTGAAGTTGCAATGTATCTAAATTCTCACTTTCCTCTTTGGGGAGAATATATTCCATTCAAAGAGTTGTAAGGGTAACATGTAGTTTACCCATTGGGGCTTTTGATTTATTTCTAACACCTGCTGCTTAAAAGTCTGTAGGACTGAACTTTTATATGGTTATTTTAAAAAAAAGATAAAGATTGAAGCTATTATGAGACTAGCTTTTTTCCCAAAGAGCACATATACCTCAAGTCTTCTCTTAATATGTGTATAAGAGCACGGAGGGGTGTAATTTTGTTTATTTCAGAACTTCTCTTTCTTGAATTAAGAGCAAGCACTGTGTCTTAAGTAAGCAAACAAAATGGGTATGTGCATTTCTTTTAAAGAAACTAATTGGATTTAGGATGAGTTATCACCAGACCTTGCCAGTTTGTACTAATGTGCCTAACATGAACACAAAGAGTAAGCTCCAGGTGATAGAAGGAGCTTTAGCTTCATTCTCACTACAGCCAAAACTCTACTTTCATGCTTCTAATTTTAGTTGGGGAAAATCCAACCAGCACTTCTGGGTGTGCAAGGCTGTGGAGAATCACAGCCAAGCTCTGTGTGAATCAGTCTGCGTGGCTGTGAAGGAACCACGGACTGAATTGAATTTTTCAACTAAATATTTTCTTTGCAATTTCTCCATTGAATTTATCATAAGACTAATATATATTTTTTGATCTATATAAGGATTTTCTTCGAAATATTCCAGGAAGCATATTTTCAGCCAGTCTGTATGATGAATGGCTTGATGTTATTGATCAAGGCAATGAGGAGGAGAAAATAACTGCGACCCAGAGGTAATGATGCAATTTTCTCAACTCTGAGAAAATACAACCAACATACTCTTAGGAAAATATCAGCTTATAGTTTACAGCTGTGTCCACTAAACTAATGACCAGTATCAAAAGGCTTCACTTGATCATAGCCATGGAAGCCAGTTTGAAAAGAGATGCATGCCTTATTGGTGACATTGTAATTGGTGTTTTTCTCCTCATCTTATTAATATGGAATGCTTGACCATTTTACACCTTCTGAATACACGAAATTGTTGGAGATGAAATCCATTGGTCTAAAAAGAGATGATAAAGAACCAATCTGCCAGTGGTATGATCTTAAATACAAACACATAACTAACCAGAGCAGTTCTTACCTGGCTCAGGAATTAAATTCGGTGAAACATTTTTGTATGCATTCATGCCTGGAACTGTGAGAATGGACTGTGGACATGGTATAAAAAGAAGTACTTTGTTCTCTGTATTTCCACGTACTGACCAAAATGACTCGCTTTATTTATAAGTGCCTTTTTCTGTCATTAGGCTTCTAGACCAGCTGCCAAGAGCCAACGTAGTTTTTTTGCGTTACCTTTTTGGAGTGTTACACAACATTGAGCAACATTCCTCATCCAATCAGATGACAGCTTACAATTTATCAGTGTGTATAACCCCAAGCATTCTTTGTCTGCTTAATTCTGGCAGCACAGAATTAGAAAGCTTCACCAAAAAGGTAATGAGATCTCTCATTTTTATGCCTTGCGGGGCAGTGTCCCCATTTTGAACCTGAAGTCTGTGGTATTAACTCTGATGAACCAGTTTTTAAAGTGCACGTTTTAATTACACTGCCTTGGACTGGCAGAGTCCTACTCTGGTTGGGCATGGGAAGGTGTATTGCAACTGAGCACAGTTGAGTCACTTCTCCTTTGCCAGCCAAGAGATTAAACAATAGAGAGATAAGAGTAGGATGGTAGGATAGAAAAGAACCTGGCTTTGGTATCTGAGAACCAAGATTCAACTCTCAGCCTAATCACTGAGGGGTGTACAAACCTCCAAACTATGATTTCATCATTACACAATGATGACAACACCCGATACATCTGGTCACTCTCGCACATCTTAGGCGGCCTGGGCAATATGAGCACCCAAGGCTCCACACATACTGGCCTCACGCTGCCAGTTCTGGCTCATTCAGGAAAATACTTGGCTTCTATTGTGTCTCTGCTAGAGGATGAGGAAGCTAGTCAAATATTTCAGAACATCCTGACAGAGCCACAACATGCCTAAGAAGATCACAGCTCTTTTCCAAGCTCCCCTGGACAGCAAGTGTGAGGCAAGGCAATGCAGTTAGACAGACAGACATGTTTTCTCTCCAGATGCTTTCTTCCGTCACAAACCCCCCCACCCCACACAGCAACCTCTGCTACCCAAGTTTCAGATAGTTCTTCACTGAAGTGAATTTCAAAAGTTGAGTTGCATTTGATACTTTATAAAGCTTAATGAGATGCTATATATAAATTCTATCTCAATAAAATGAGAAAAAAATTTAATACAAATAAATAAAACTTAATAAGAAAATGTACATTTTTGTCCCAAGTATTCTATGTAGGCTACTTAAAAATCATCCTAGTTTTAAGCATGTAACAATCATTACAAAATTTTAGCTATTAAACTAGGCCACATATGATAACTTTAGTCCACCAACTAAAAGAATTTTAAAATTTTGCCCAAAGTACTCTTGAAAGTATTAGCTATTTCTTAGAAAAAGCTGATGTATATATAATATATATATTTTTTAAATCAAGTGAATTTTTCTCAGACTTCTCTTGCATTTTTTGTTAGAGCCAAGACTCATGTATGAAATGTGATTTACTATGACGCCATATGTACGGTAATACCCCATTTTTTGCCCCTCTGTGTTACAGATTTCTTTCATACAATTTCTCATTGAAAACTGTCTCAAGATATTTGGAGAAGATATCACTTCTCTCTTTGGAAAGAACTCAGTGAGTTGCGATAACAGTGATATCACTGATATCACTGATAACAGTGAGAAGGTTGCAGGTACGTGAATAATGTAACTGAATTTGATGCAAAAGACAGCAAGGCTGCCAGGGTCAATGGGAGATACTGGAGTCCAAAGCACATTCTAAGGGTAGTAATTTCCATCTGCTCCAAGACATGGGAAGTTTCCCACTTGTGAGATCAAAGAAACGATAAGACTGTTCTGATTTCAAGAAGCTACTAATACAGCTTTAGAAGACATCATGGTTCAGTTAAGTTCAGTTGCTCAGTCGTGTCCGACTCTTTGTGACCCCCAAGGACTGCAGTGACCCAAACTCCTTGGGGTCAAGGACTGCAGCGTGCCAGGCCTCCCTGTCCATCACCAACTCCCGGAGCTTACTTAAAGTCATGTCCATCGAATCAGTGATGCCATCCAACCATCTCACCCTCTCTCGTCCCCTTCTCCTCCTGCCTTCAATCTTTCCCAGCATCAGGGTTTCTTCCAATGAGTCAGTTCTTTGCATCAGGTGGCCAAAGTATTGGAGTTTCAGCTTCAGAATCAGTCCTTCCAATGAACTGATTTCTTTAGGATGGACTGATTCCTTTAGGATGGACTGATTCCTTTAGGATGGACTGATGGACTGATTAGAAAGAACTGATTTCCTTTAGCATGAACTGGTTGGATCTCCTTGCAGTCCAAGGGACTCTCAAGAGTCTTCTCCAACACCACAGTTCAAAATGGACATCCCGGTAAAATATCACATTTGGAAATTTTTAACATAAAACTTTAAATAAAACTCATATATAAAAGATGTGCTCTGGCTGAACCTGGAGTGAGGGGCCCAGGGCACTGCCTGGTTTATTCCCCTCTCCTTCCCTTTTCTGGTCAGTGGTCCCTGAGGCACTGCAGCTTTCTAGTGCCTTTGCAATAGCTTGAAAAGAACCAGCATCATTGACAAAAAAAGGACTAAATTAAAACAAACTTTCCAGACTATAAACTCTTGTACCAGTATTTACCAGTTGCATTAACTTTGGCCAATTATTCTAGCTCAGTTTCAGTTCCTTCATCTCTAAGATGTTAATGAAAAGTATCTAAATCTTAGGATTGCACTAAAGGTTAAATAAGATAACTGATGTAAAATAAATCTGTAAAGAAGCAATTAATAGGTCTAGTAGAAGTTCTTATGAGATTAGAGTTAGTACTACTTGAGCCTAGCTAATCACGGCTTCCTGGTAGCAGTTCATTTTTATAAGGCAGCATTTAGATTCACAACCTGAGGGCATGGCAATGTCTTAGGTTAGGGCTTTTCTCCGGACAGTTCTCTTTCTCGCCCTCTGGCTATCCCACAGTCTGGGTTGCTATCTTACATTAGCTCCCTCAGATTGCCCTCGGGGTATTCAGGCCTGTTCCTTACTCTAAGCAATGCAGCCGAAGCCTCTGGGTTCAGCCCCCACTTGCTGGTGGTGGATGCGAGCGTCTGGGCTACTTTTCTGCTGGGAGTTGCCATTAGGCACATAATCTGTGGGTTTTAGTTATTTATATATTTATTTTTCCTCCTGGTTATATTGTCCTCTGAGATTCCAAAACTCCCAAAAGACCCGCTATGAGAGTGCTTCCTGGTGTTTGGAAACTTCTCCTCTTTTAAGACTCCCTTCCCAGGACGGATCTCTGTCCCTGTCTCTTTTGTCTGTCTTTTTATCTTTTATAGTTTGTCCTACCTCCTTTCAAAGACAATGGGCTGTCTTTCTGGGAGCCTGATGTCCTCTTCCAGCATTCAGAAGTTGTTACGTGGAATTTGCTCAGCGTTCAAATGTTCTTTCGACAAATTTGTGGGGGAGAAAGTGGTCTCATTGTCCTATTCGTCTGCAATCTTAGGACCACCCCAGAAACTTGAACTCTTGATTCTATCTCCACAGCAAGCTCACTTTCCATTCTGCTTCAGACCCAGGCTGCCAATGGAACTGGACTGAATATTTATGTGTTTGGTTTTTTTTAAAATCTTTCCTCTTGCAATCATCCCTGCTACCATTCCAATATTGTCCCATTGATATTTATTTCTCTGAATAAAATGTCTTACTAATTTAAGAAGTATTGGGGCCAGAATAGAATTTCTACTTAAAGTATTTTTATTCTTATAATTGTTATTCTATACCCACAAACTTTCAAAATTTCACTTTTTAACATTCAAACCCTAATTTGAACAGGAGGAAACACTGACCTAAATCTTGTCAGGACTGTTTAAGAAAGATGAGTTTATAAAGCTAACCTGTTTACCAGTCCCTGGCAACCCGCTGCAGTATTACTATCTGGGAAATCCCACAGACAGGAGTCTGATGGACTACAGTCCACAGGGGTGCAAGAGTTGGACACGACTGAACAACCGAGCACCATACTTTTCGTGGCTACAGTATGTATTTTTATTGGTCACTGAGCCAGCAAGAACTCTAACACCAACCAATGTACATTACGAAAGGTCCATCTAGGCCTGAAAATAAAAGTATAGGGCTTAATCTCTATTTTGCTTTCCGTCTATGCTCAAGAGTAGCTGGACGTATAGCTTTGTAGCAACTGATAGAGCTTTCTTCCTGAGTATTCTTATTAAAGCTGAACAATGAATGAATACATTTGGAATGCATGAATACCTTTGGGTAGTTTTAGAAATAAAATAATCAGGTTAAGAGCAGGGAAACCAGGGTGCATAAAGCAACTCACCCATATAAACATGTATCTTTTTAACATTTGTACATATTAATTAGGAGAATCTCTTCCTGAATTTAGGAATGCATTTGCTTTCTTCATCATCTCCTTTGAAAATGATGGCGGTATGATGTCAAGGCAGGAAGAGCCTAAGGCAAAGCGATGACATTCCTTCAGGAATGCACACCTTCTAGAGGCTGCAAAATCAAATGGAGAATGGGAGTGGGGTCTGCTTGTTGGGGAGGTGACTGATGTCTAGGCTGCCTTAGGCCCTTTGAAGGAGGGAAATTACCTTTATTAAGGCTGCTATGTGACATGTCTTGCACGGAGTAGTACATTATGGTATGTAGTCCAGTGAGGTGTAAGTAGCATCATTTATATTAAGTCTGAGCAAACTGAAGCTCAAAGAGTTTTAGGTAACTTATCCAATTAGGGGGCAGAATAGGAGCCTTCTGGTTCTCTCACCCAGCACCACAAGTGGCTCACCCACTTGAATGGACATGGTGATGCACTCACTATGTCTCAGAAAAGCCAAGTGGATGGCATTTTAAAATATTTCGTTAAATTCTTCTGTTTATTTTTCTACAACTTGACTCCTCTATTGACTTCTTCAGCTGGCTACTTAAGCAGGTAATTTAAGGAAATATTAAGCAGGTTCATTGAGCAAATATCAGGAAAACATTCATAGCTGGGCACGAGAAACTTTGAACTCAATTTTTCATTGCTGATCACTCTTTCTTGGAAAAGCCCTTCACTGCATTCGTTTGACAGGGGCTGTTGGTAGTTAAAATTCATCTTTGGGTTAGCTGAGTAAGGTGTTACAGAAAAATGGCCACCTGTAATCTTAGCACATAGTCTGCATTTAATGACTACTTCCCAAGGACCCTGAGGGCAGGAAGTCAGCCTTGGAGCTGACTGAGGGGTGTGGCCTCCCAGAGAAGAGCTCCAGAGGCTGACTGAAAAGCAGGGTCAGGCAGGATGTCTCATGAAAGGTGATTCTTTTGATGAGAGAAAATTGGGCATGACTGGGTACTCAGAAAGCCAAACAGGAAATTGAACAGAGGGAGGAAACTTACTACAAAAGTAAATGATAACCAAATGCTGCTTGATTTGAATACTAAATATGTTTGGCTTTTAAAATGAGATCTGATACCAGAATCCACTAATAATACTTCACATTAGGAAACCTGTATAGCTACAGGTTAAGTGCCTCATGACACAGGGCAAAGGGAATAGACAGCACTCTCTGGGGAATACTGTCACAGGAAGAATCAACCCTGAGTCTGATCACGCCTCTAGGTTCAACTACTGGTTTGCAGAATATGGGGAAGAAGAACATGTTAACACTACAAGGATGCAATGAGTCCGTTTCAGAATGTGGGGAATTCTATATAACAAATGGTTCAGTTTCTCTCTTTCAGCCACTGCAATGAACATGCTAATGAATGTAAGTGGTGGAAATCAGGCTAAATAAGCTAAACTACTACTAGTGAAAATCTCTCTTCTACATTAGATACAGACAAGAAGACAGTTAGTAAGAATTCTGCCAAAAACTGGGCCTTTTGGTGTAGCTCCAGGACTCGCGAGGACAACCAACACCCACGTCTGCCACCCACAAAGCCAAAACAGCTCTTTGGAGCTCCTCTTGAGGATGTATGTGATAATGACACCCTGCCCACCCCAATTCTGGTAGGTCTTATTTTGGTTTTCTGTAGCCTTCCTGAGGGAGGGGAGTTCTGAGAGATCAAGTGTTCTCTTCCAAATCTACTCCCAAATGAAGAAGTCTAGCTTTGTCTGATAAGTTTCATAATATTACTTCAAAGAATAAGGTCTGATTTAGGTACTGCAGAGTTAGAAGGCAAATACCAGATGAAAAGATACTCTCATCCATTCCACTGATTTCAACAAAGACCCATCTATACCAGCTCAGACCAGTTAAAATGGACTCTGTAAGGTAAGGGAATTAGAGAAGGCAAGGTTTGGAAAAAGAATAAGACCGGCACTTTACAGGAACAGATCACCTTTAACGAGGCAAAAAGGGGCAGCAGTCACAACAGTGAGCTGCTGCACCACCCCAAGAAAAAAGTATATACAGGCATGTATGTGGAAAGCTACTGTCTTAAGGAGGCCTGTTCTGCAAGGTTCTTCAGAGCAGTTATCTCTTACACAGCTGGAGCAAGGAATTTTGGAGACTGGCCAGAGGCTGGGACCAGCTGGGAGCTGGGCGTAATCAACCTAAGGTCCATTTTTTTCTTCGGGTGACAGAGTTCTTTATTTTGCATAGAATGGTGCGGAGGACCTGGACGGGAGTTTTAACTCCAGGCTATTTTGAGCTGTGTAACTTTCCTTCAGACTCTGTGTGTAAGAATCTCTGAGAGTCCACCTCATCCTCATATTGTCTCCTGTCTCCTCCCTTGAAGTCGACACTAGTCTCAAGTCTCCTTCAGCTGAGTCTACCCCGCCTTATGATTCAAAATGTCTCACACGGATTTGATTTGTAACTCAAGTGTTTCAGCATAAAGTACTCATCCTCTGGCAAAAATGAATCATTTGATCCTGACAGAATGTGTCAAAATAAAGTCACAGTTTGGACTGTGCTATATCAAATTAGTGTATTGAACTGTAAGCATTAACACTTGTTCACTGTCCACTATCTCTCCAAGCACTACACTAGATGCAGGGAATTTTATGGTATATATGAAGAAATTTATCATACTAGTTTGGTGCTAGCACTACCCCAGACCTTGTGTCTTTCACAGAAAATTTAGGGGGTAGCTATGATTATCATCACCCCCACTTCATAAATGAAAATCAAAAGAGCCTCACCCAAGTATGTGCTATGCCTAAAGTCACAGAGTGGATAAGTAGCAAAACAGATTCCACATTCCTTGAAACACCTGGCTCCAGTATCTGTTATCTCTCTACTCTGCAGACAGCAGACTACATGAAAATACAGAAAAAGGAACTGGAAAGGCTGATGAGAAAGAAATGTGAGCGGAGAAGGAGGAGAGGCATGTTGAGCCTGATTTTGAGGGGACGGAATACAGGAAATAGGAATGAATGGGGTGGACAGTCCGGAAAGGGGAATACACAAATGGAGCATGAATATGGCAAAAAGATTTCCACACTTAGGGAAGAGCATCTATAATAGGGAATAATGAGAAAGGAGCGGTGAAGGAGGAGAGGGTGAATCTACAAAGGCCTCAAAGCAGAGACGTTTAACAGGGTAAATTCACTGAAGCAGAAAATCTGATGACACAAGTGTTTAAAATGTTTCAGGGTATGAATGCCCAATCGATGGTTGGGTAGAAAATATATTTAGAGACACTGAAGAAAAAATTTCAAGTTGACTTCGGTCCAGTTCCAGCACTGTACCCTCATACACCACAGCTCTGTCAAAAGAGGAGCAAGCTTGTGCTCTGGGCTTGTAGATATGAAACGTCCCATACTTTTCTTTTCTTTCGTTCCCTATAGGATATGCTTTCCTTTATCAATCAAAAAGGGCCATTCACAGAAGGCATCTTCAGAAAATCTGCCAGTATAAAATCATGCAGAGCCCTAAAGGAGAAACTAAACTCTGGGGACAAAGTGAACTTGGATGATGAATCCCTTCTTGTGGTAGCATCCGTCTTAAAGGTAAGGAAGGTTTGAGCACTATCCACACACAGAGTAAATCTGAAGCTATATGACTGGCCCTTCATTATGACTGCCCAAGAAACATAATAGGCATAAGAGAGGAAGGATTTGAAAAAGTGAAAAACACTTCACAAAGCCAAAATTGAAGGAAGGTACCTCAAATATTATAAGCCCCATATATTAGATATTTTCCTTTTTCATTGCACATCTTGACTCCTGAACACTCCATGCAAAAGAATAATAATAAATTTCAAAATACACACTTACACATAAGAGTGTTTACCAATACAAGCTTCCTGCTTTTGGTGACTTCCTCATCATCTTTCTAATGAAGGCAACATTTCCAAAATAAAATTCGTATTAAGCTTTTGGAAATAGTTAACAGAACTAACTTCCCAAGTGGCTCAGACAGTAAAGAATCTGCCTGCAATGCGGGAGACCTGGGTTCGATCCCTGGGTTGGAAGGATCCCCTGGAAATGGGACTGGCATACCGACTCCAGTATTCTTGCCTGGAGAATCCCATGGACAGAGGAGTCTGGCAGGCTATAGTCCATGGGATGGCACAGAGTCAGACACGGCTGAAGCAACTCAGCATGGATGCAAGACACATGGTTACTTACTGTGGTAAACTCGTGTGTGTGTGTGTCTGTGTGTGTGTTAGTCGCCTAGTCGTGTCCGACTCTCTGTGATCCCATGGACTGTAGCCCACCAGGCCCCTTGGTCCATGGGATTCTCCAGGCAAGAACACTAGAGTGGGCTGCCATGCCCTTCTCCAGGAGATCTTCCTGATTCAGGGATCGAACCCGCAGCTCTTGCATCTCCTGCATTGGCAGGCAGGTTCTTTATCACTAGCACCATCTGGGAAACCCATTTGACTTATAGTGAATCAAAAAATGCTTAGTGAGGCCACCAAATTCTCTGATCACTTCATCATCCTTCCTTCCCCTGTCTCTCAATGCCTTTTACTTTAAAATCAGTGTAGGGATGACTCCACCATTTGTTAATCCTTTTATCTCCCTTAACATCTTTAATACCCTTTGTTAATATTTGTATGTTTAACCCACCACGCAAGGTTACAGTTACATGGTAACCAGTTTTATTACATGCCTCATCTTATAAATCTTATTTTTAAAGTGAGTGCAACAGTCAAAGTCAGTTTGGAATTTTGAAAATTCAATAGATTCATACAAAAAACACACTGAGTTTGAAATGATACAGCTAAATCACAAGTGTGTGTAGTTAAATCTCTACCAGGGCAATAATAGAACAGGAAAAAAATTTAGTCAATTCATCTTGATACTTGTTAGCAGCTATGAACAAAAATATATTGATGTAGTAATAACTACAGACAGGTTATTAAAATTATCTTAGAAACTAAACATATGGTCTTTCCTTGTCCCCTGTTAATGTTCGATTGTATGATAATAGCAACAGTGCAGATACAACTTAGAGTTGACCCCTACTACACTTGCACCATAATAATACACGCTAGGTATGCAAATAGCAAGTGGAGTGCTACCGTCTATAAGGTGCACCCTTGGAACTGATTTGATTTTTGAGCAAGATTTACTAGGCTCTTGCCTATTTCCATGCTATAAGCACAGACTAGTAAGAGGGTGGCTACTTATGGGTACAGGTCTTACACAATCCCAAAGTTTTCTTTTCCTAAAATTGATTGATCTTGGTGGGGAATCAGACTTTGCAACCTCAGCATTGATAATACCATATGTCAAAGCAGCCATAGAGTTGGTCTAAATCAGAAATGAATATATAGTGAGAACCACATTGAGTTTTCCATTAAACTGTCTATAAACAGAGATCCAACAGCAAATACCCATGGCATATTCTGCATGAGTCATGTCCTGGCTTAACCATACTCAGTCTCACCAATTGATTCTACAGCACAAGGTCCAAGAGAGAGGAGAGACACACTCTCCAAGTGCATGTAGTTTGGTACCCAAGGCAAAGGCCTGCTGCACACTCCCAGACTCCCAGAAGCCAAAGCCAGCTGAGGTGGTTGAATGGCATCACCAACTCAATGGACATGAATTTGAGCAAGACCCAGGTGTTGGTGATGGACAGGAAAGCCTGGTGTGCTGCAGTCCATGGGGTCACAAAGAGTAGGACATGACTGAACGACTGAACTGAAATGGAGTGCCTCCTCCTTCCAGATATACTGTGGACTCTCCATAAGAAGCATAGTGAAAACCTAATGACCATGATTGGGTACTGTATACCAATTACAAGAAAAAGTATGAGAGGACTGAGACTTTGTACTCTGTCCTCAGTACTCAAAAGAGTGCCTGGCACAAACAGCAGCTCAATAAGTACTGAAACAAGTGAACACTGACTGGATTATAATCATGAGAGTTGCCCAGAAACCTTGCCTGAACAAGATACTGTTAATAGAAGTCAGGTTCTATATTAAGACCAGTGGAAGCAAGTTGTGCCTTTGAAACTGGCAAGGCAATGCAATCATTTCCCCTCAGTCTTGCAAAACAGTTTACAACGTCATCTATTTTAATAGGCCCCATTCTATGATACTAAGACTTGTTCATCACTGATGAACTTTCCAGGATTCCACTTAGGAAGCTTATATTTGCATATTCTATCCCACAGGTGTGAAGTGGCAATGTATCTAAATTCTCACTTTCCTCCTTGGGGAGAATATATTCCATTCAAAGAGTTGTAAGGGTAACATGTAGTTTACCTATTGGAGCTTTTGATTTATTTCTAACACCTGCTGCTTAAAAGTCTGTAGGACTGAACTTTTATATGGTTTTTAAAAAAAAAAAAGAAAAAGATTGAAGCTATTATGAGACTAGCTTTTTTCCCAAAGAGCACATATACCTCAAGTCTTCTCTTAATATGTGTATAAGAGCACAGAGGGGTGTAATTTTGTTTATTTCAGAACTTCTCTTTCTTGAATTAAGAGCAAGCACTGTGTCTTAAGTAAGCAAACAAAATGGGTATGTGCATTTCTTTTAAAGAAACTAATTGGATTTAGGATGAGTTATCACCAGACCTTGCCAGTTTGTACTAATGTGCCTAACATGAACACAAAGAGTAAGCTCCAGGTGATAGAAGGAGCTTTAGCTTCATTCTCACTACAGCCAAAACTCTACTTTCATGCTTCTAATTTTAGTTGGGGAAAATCCAACCAGCACTTCTGGGTGTGCAAGGCTGTGGAGAATCACAGCCAAGCTCTGTGTGAATCAGTCTGCGTGGCTGTGAAGGAACCACGGACTGAATTGAATTTTTCAACTAAATATTTTCTTTGCAATTTCTCCATTGAATTTATCATAAGACTAATATATATTTTTTGATCTATATAAGGATTTTCTTCGAAATATTCCAGGAAGCATATTTTCAGCCAGTCTGTATGATGAATGGCTTGATGTTATTGATCAAGGCAATGAGGAGGAGAAAATAACTGCGACCCAGAGGTAATGATGCAATTTTCTCAACTCTGAGAAAATACAACCAACATACTCTTAGGAAAATATCAGCTTATAGTTTACAGCTGTGTCCACTAAACTAATGACCAGTATCAAAAGGCTTCACTTGATCATAGCCATGGAAGCCAGTTTGAAAAGAGATGCATGCCTTATTGGTGACATTGTAATTGGTGTTTTTCTCCTCATCTTATTAATATGGAATGCTTGACCATTTTACACCTTCTGAATACACGAAATTGTTGGAGATGAAATCCATTGGTCTAAAAAGAGATGATAAAGAACCAATCTGCCAGTGGTATGATCTTAAATACAAACACATAACTAACCAGAGCAGTTCTTACCTGGCTCAGGAATTAAATTCGGTGAAACATTTTTGTATGCATTCATGCCTGGAACTGTGAGAATGGACTGTGGACATGGTATAAAAAGAAGTACTTTGTTCTCTGTATTTCCACGTACTGACCAAAATGACTCGCTTTATTTATAAGTGCCTTTTTCTGTCATTAGGCTTCTAGACCAGCTGCCAAGAGCCAACGTAGTTTTTTTGCGTTACCTTTTTGGAGTGTTACACAACATTGAGCAACATTCCTCATCCAATCAGATGACAGCTTACAATTTATCAGTGTGTATAACCCCAAGCATTCTTTGTCTGCTTAATTCTGGCAGCACAGAATTAGAAAGCTTCACCAAAAAGGTAATGAGATCTCTCATTTTTATGCCTTGCGGGGCAGTGTCCCCATTTTGAACCTGAAGTCGGTGGTATTAACTCTGATGAACCAGTTTTTAAAGTGCACGTTTTAATTACACTGCCTTGGACTGGCAGAGTCCTACTCTGGTTGGGCATGGGAAGGTGTATGGCAACTGAGCACAGTTGAGTCACTTCTCCTTTGCCAGCCAAGAGATTAAACAATAGAGAGATAAGAGTAGGATGGTAGGATAGAAAAGAACCTGGCTTTGGTATCTGAGAACCAAGATTCAACTCTCAGCCTAATCACTGAGGGGTGTACAAACCTCCAAACTCTGATTTCATCATTACACAATGATGACAACACCCGATACATCTGGTCACTCTCGCACATCTTAGGCGGCCTGGGCAATATGAGCACCCAAGGCTCCACACATACTGGCCTCACGCTGCCAGTTCTGGCTCATTCAGGAAAATACTTGGCTTCTATTGTGTCTCTGCTAGAGGATGAGGAAGCTAGTCAAATATTTCAGAACATCTGACAGAGCCACAACATGCCTGAGAAGATCACAGCTCTTTTCCAAGCTCCCCTGGACAGCAAGTGTGAGGCAAGGCAACGCAGTTAGACAGACAGACATGTTTTCTCTCCAGATGCTTTCTTCCGTCACAAACCCCCCCACCCCACACAGCAACCTCTGCTACCCAAGTTTCAGATAGTTCTTCACTGAAGTGAATTTCAAAAGTTGAGTTGCATTTGATACTTTATAAAGCTTAATGAGATGCTATATATAAATTCTATCTCAATAAAACGAGAAAAAAATTTAATACAAATAAATAAAACTTAATAAGAAAATATACATTTTTGTCCCAAGTATCCTATGTAGGCTACTTAAAAATCATCCTAATATTAAGCATGTAACAATCATTACAAAATTTTAGCTATTAAACTAGGCCACATATGATAACTTTAGTCTACCAACTAAAAGAATTTTAAAATTTTGCCCAAAGTACTCTTGAAAGTATTAGTTATTTCTTAGAAAAAGCTGATGTATATATAATATATATATTTTTTAAATCAAGTGAATTTTTCTCAGACTTCTCTTGCATTTTTTGTTAGAGCCAAGACTCATGTATGAAATGTGATTTACTATGACGCCATATGTACGGTAATACCCCATTTTTTTGCCCCTCTGTGTTACAGATTTCTTTCATACAATTTCTCATTGAAAACTGTCTCAAGATATTTGGAGAAGATATCACTTCTCTCTTTGGAAAGAACTCAGTGAGTTGCGATAACAGTGATATCACTGATATCACTGATAACAGTGAGAAGGTTGCAGGTACGTGAATAATGTAACTGAATTTGATGCAAAAGACAGCAAGGCTGCCAGGGTCAATGGGAGATACTGGAGTCCAAAGCACATTCTAAGGGTAGTAATTTCCATCTGCTCCAAGACATGGGAAGTTTCCCACTTGTGAGATCAAAGAAACGATAAGACTGTTCTGATTTCAAGAAGCTACTAATACAGCTTTAGAAGACATCATGGTTCAGTTCAGTTCAGTTGCTCAGTCGTGTCCGACTCTTTGTGACCCCCAAGGACTGCAGTGACCCAAACTCCTTGGGGTCAAGGACTGCAGCGTGCCAGGCCTCCCTGTCCATCACCAACTCCCGGAGCTTACTTAAAGTCATGTCCATCGAATCAGTGATGCCATCCAACCATCTCACCCTCTCTCGTCCCCTTCTCCTCCTGCCTTCAATCTTTCCCAGCATCAGGGTTTCTTCCAATGAGTCAGTTCTTTGCATCAGGTGGCCAAAGTATTGGAGTTTCAGCTTCAGAATCAGTCCTTCCAATGAACTGATTTCTTTAGGATGGACTGATTCCTTTAGGAAGGACTGATGGACTGATTAGAAAGAACTGATTTCCTTTAGGATGAACTGGTTGGATCTCCGTGCAGTCCAAGGGACTCTCAAGAGTCTTCTCCAACACCACAGTTCAAAATGGACATCCCGGTAAAATATCACATTTGGAAATTTTTAAAATAAAACTTTAAATAAAACTCATATATAAAAGATGTGCTCTGGCTGAACCTGGAGTGAGGGGCCCAGGGCACTGCCTGGTTTATTCCCCTCTCCTTCCCTTTTCTGGTCAGTGGTCCCTGAGGCACTGCAGCTTTCTAGTGCCTTTGCAATAGCTTGAAAAGAACCAGCATCATTGACAAAAAAAGGACTAAATTAAAACAAACTTTCCAGACTATAAACTCTTGTACCAGTATTTACCAGTTGCATTAACTTTGGCCAATTATTCTAGTTCAGTTTCAGTTCCTTCATCTCTAAGATGTTAATGAAAAGTATCTAAATCTTAGGATTGCACTAAAGGTTAAATAAGATAACTGATGTAAAATAAATCTGTAAAGAAGCAATTAATAGGTCTAGTAGAAGTTCTTATGAGATTAGAGTTAGTACTACTTGAGCCTAGCTAATCACAGCTTCCTGGTAGCAGTTCATTTTTATAAGGCAGCATTTAGATTCACAACCTGAGGGCATGGCAATGTCTTAGGTTAGGGCTTTTCTCCGGACAGTTCTCTTTCTCGCCCTCTGGCTATCCCACAGTCTGGGTTGCTATCTTACATTAGCTCCCTCAGATTGCCCTCGGGGCATTCAGGCCTGTTCCTTACTCTAAGCAATGCAGCCGAAGCCTCCGGGTTCAGCCCCCACTTGCTGGTGGTGGATGCGAGCGTCTGGGCTACTTTTCTGCTGGGAGTTGCCATTAGGCACATAATCTGTGGGTTTTAGTTATTTATATATTTATTTTTCCTCCTGGTTATATTGTCCTCTGAGATTCCAAAACTCCCAAAAGACCCGCTATGAGAGTGCTTCCTGGTGTTTGGAAACTTCTCCTCTTTTAAGACTCCCTTCCCAGGACGGATCTCTGTTCCTGTCTCTTTTGTCTGTCTTTTTATCTTTTATATTCTGTCCTACCTCCTTTCAAATACAATGGGCTGTCTGTCTGGGAGCCTGATGTCCTCTTCCAGCATTCAGAAGTTGTTACGTGGAATTTGCTCAGCGTTCAAATGTTCTTTCGACGAATTTGTGGGGGAGAAAGTGGTCTCATTGTCCTATTCCTCTGCAATCTTAGGACCACCCCAGAAACTTGAACTCTTGATTCTATCTCCACAGCAAGCTCACTTTCCATTCTGCTTCAGACCCAGGCTGCGAATGGAACTGGACTGAATATTTATGTGTTTGTTTTTTTTAAATCTTTCCTCTTGCAATTATCCATGCTACCATTCCAATATTGTCCCATTGATATTTATTTCTCTGAATAAAATGTCTTACTAATTTAAGAAGTATTGGGGCCAGAATAGAATTTCTACTTAAAGTATTTTTATTCTTATAATTGTTATTCTATACCCACAAAGTTTCAAAATTTCACTTTTTAACATTCAAACCCTAATTTGAACAGGAGGAAACACTGACCTAAATCTTGTCAGGACTGTTTAAGAAAGATGAGGTTATAAAGCTAACCTGTTTAACAGTCCCTGGCAACCCGCTGCAGTATTACTATCTGGGAAATCCCACAGACAGGAGTCTGATGGACTACAGTCCACAGGGGTGCAAGAGTTGGACACGACTGAACAACCGAGCACCATACTTTTCGTGGCTACAGTATGTATTTTTATTGGTCACTGAGCCAGCAAGAACTCTAACACCAACCAATGTACATTACGAAAGGTCCATCTAGGCCTGAAAATAAAAGTATAGGGCTTAATCTCTATTTTGCTTTCCGTCTATGCTCAAGAGTAGCTGGACGTATAGCTTTGTAGCAACTGATAGAGCTTTCTTCCTGAGTATTCTTATTAAAGCTGAAGAATGAATGAATACATTTGGAATACATGAATACCTTTGGGTAGTTTTAGAAATAAAATAATCAGGTTAAGAGCAGGGAAACCAGGGTGCATAAAGCAACTCACCCATATAAACATGTATCTTTTTAACATTTGTACATATTAATTAGGAGAATCTCTTCCTGAATTTAGGAATGCATTTGCTTTCTTCATCATCTCCTTTGAAAATGATGGCGGTATGATGTCAAGGCAGGAAGAGCCTAAGGCAAAGCGATGACATTCCTTCAGGAATGCACAGCTTCTTGAGGCTGCAAAGTCAAATGGAGAATGGGGGTGGGGTCTGCTTGTTGGGGAGGTGACTGATGTCTAGGCTGCCTTAGGCCCTTTGAAGGAGGGAAATTACCTTTATTAAGGCTGCTATGTGACATGTCTTGCACGGAGTAGTACATTATGGTATGTAGTCCAGTGAGGTGTAAGTAGCATCATTTATGTTAAGTTTGAGCAAACTGAAGCTCAAAGAGTTTAGAATAGGAGCCTTCTGGTTCTCTCACCCAGCACCACAAGTGGCTCACCCACTTGAATGGACATGGTGATGCACTCACTATGTCTCAGAAAAGCCAAGTGGATGGCATTTTAAAATATTTCGTTAAATTCTTCTGTTTATTTTTCTACAACTTGACTCCTCTATTGACTTCTTCAGCTGGCTACTTAAGCAGGTAATTTAAGGAAATATTAAGCAGGTTCATTGAGCAAATATCAGGAAAACATTCATAGCTGGGCACGAGAAATTTTGAACTCAATTTTTCATTGCTGATCACTCTTTCTTGGAAAAGCCCTTCATTGGATTCCTTTGACAGGGGCTGTTGGTAGTTAAAATTCATCTTTGGGTTAGCTGAGTAAGGTGTTACAGAAAAATGGCCACCTGTAATCTTAGCACATAGTCTGCATTTAATGACTACTTCCCAAGGACCGTGAGGGCAGGAAGTCAGCCTTGGAGCTGACTGAGGGGTGTGGCCTCCCAGAGAAGAGCTCCAGAGGCTGACTGAAAAGCAGGGTCAGGCAGATTGTCTCATGAAAGGTGATTCTTTTGATGAGAGAAAATTGGGCATGACTGGGTACTCAGAAAGCCAAACAGGAAATTGAACAGAGGGAGGAAACTTACTACAAAAGTAAATGATAACCAAATGCTGCTTGATTTGAATACTAAATATGTTTGGCTTTTAAAATGAGATCTGATACCAGAATCCACTGATAATACTTCACATTAGGAAACCTGTATGGCTACAGGTTAAGTGCCTCATGACACAGGGCAAAGGGAAGAGAGAGCACTCTCTGGGGAATACTGTCACAGGAAGAATCAACCCTGAGTCTGATCACGCCTCTAGGTTCAACTACTGGTTTGCAGAATATGGGGAAGAAGAACATGTTAACACTACAAGGATGCAATGAGTCCGTTTCAGAATGTGGGGAATTCTATATAACAAATGGTTCAGTTTCTCTCTTTCAGCCACTGCAATGAACATGCTAATGATGTAAGTGGTGGAAATCAGGCTAAATAAGCTAAACTACTACTAGTGAAAATCTCTCTTCTACATTAGATACAGACAAGAAGACAGTTAGTAAGAATTCTGCCAAAAACTGGGCCTTTTGGTGTAGATCCAGGACTCGCGAGGACAACCAACACCCACGTCTGCCACCCACAAAGCCAAAACAGCTCTTTGGAGCTCCTCTTGAGGATGTATGTGATAATGACACCCTGCCCACCCCAATTCTGGTAGGTCTTATTTTGGTTTTCTGTAGCCTTCCTGAGGGAGGGGAGTTCTGAGAGATCAAGTGTTCTCTTCCAAATCTACTCCCAAATGAAGAAGTCTAGCTTTGTCTGATAAGTTTCATAAATATTACTTCAAAGAATAAGGTCTGATTTAGGTACTGCAGAGTTAGAAGGCAAATACCAGATGAAAAGATACTCTCATCCATTCCACTGATTTCAACAAAGACCCATCTATACCAGCTCAGACCAGTTAAAATGGACTCTGTAAGGTAAGGGAATTAGAGAAGGCAAGGTTTGGAAAAAGATTGAGACCGGCACTTTACAGGAACAGATCACCTTTAACGAGGCAAAAAGGGGCTGCAGTCAAATTAGTGAGCTGCTGCACCACCCCAAGAAAAAAAGTATATACAGGCATGTATGTGGAAAGCTACTGTCTTAAGGAGGCCTGTTCTGCAAGGTTCTTCAGAGCAGTTATCTCTTACACAGCAGGAGCAAGGAATTTTGGAGACTGGCCAGAGGCTGGGACCAGCTGGGAGCTGGGCGTAATCAACCTAAGGTCCATTTTTTTCTTCGGGTGACAGAGTTCTTTATTTTGCATAGAATGGTGCGGAGGAACTGGAGGGGAGTTTTAACTCCAGGCTATTTTGAGCTGTGTAACTTTCCTTCAGACTCTGTGTGTAAGAATCTCTGAGAGTCCACCTCATCCTCATATTGTCTCCTGTCTCCTCCCTTGAAGTCGACACTAGTCTCAAGTCTCCTTCAGCTGAGTCTACCCCGCCTTATGATTCAAAATGTCTCACACGGATTTGATTTGTAACTCAAGTGTTTCAGCATAAAGTACTCATCCTCTGGCAAAAATGAATCATTTGATCCTGACAGAATGTGTCAAAAGAAAGTCACAGAGTTTGGACTGTGCTATATCAAATTAGTGTATTGAACTGTAAGCATTAACACTTGCTCACTGTCCACTATCTCTCCAAGCACTACACTAGATGCAGGGAATTTTATGGTATATATGAAGAAATTTATCATACTAGTTTGGTGCTAGCACTACCCCAGACCTTGTGTCTTTCACAGAAAATTTAGGGGGTAGCTATGATTATCATCACCCCCACTCCATAAATGAAAATCAAAAGAGCCTCACCCAAGTATGTGCTATGCCTAAAGTCACATAGTGGATAAGTAGCAAAACAGATTCCACATTCCTTGAAACACCTGGCTCCAGTATCTGTTATCTCTCTACTCTGCAGACAGCAGACTACATGAAAATACAGAAAAAGGAACTGGAAAGGCTGATGAGAAAGAAATGTGAGCGGAGAAGGAGGAGAGGCATGTTGAGCCTGATTTTGAGGGGACGGAATACAGGAAATAGGAATGAATGGGGTGGACAGTCCGGAAAGGGGAATACACAAATGGAGCATGAATATGGCAAAAAGATTTCCACACTTAGGGAAGAGCATCTATAATAGGGAATAATGAGAAAGGAGCGGTGAAGGAGGAGAGGGTGAATCTACAAAGGCCTCAAAGCAGAGACGTTTAACAGGGTAAATTCACTGAAGCAGAAAATCTGATGACACAAGTGTTTAAAATGTTTCAGGGTATGAATGCCCAATCGATGGTTGGGAAGAAAATATATTTAGAGACACTGAAGAAAAAATTTCAAGTTGACTTCGGCCCAGTTCCAGCACTGTACCCTCATATACCACAGCTCTGTCAAAAGAGGAGCAAGCTTGTGCTCTGGGCTTGTAGATATGAAACGTCCCATACTTTTCTTTTCTTTCCTTTGCTATAGGATATGCTTTCCTTTATCAATCAAAAAGGGCCATTCACAGAAGGCATCTTCAGAAAATCTGCCAGTATAAAATCATGCAGAGCCCTAAAGGAGAAACTAAACTCTGGGGACAAAGTGAACTTGGATGATGAATCCCTTCTTGTGGTAGCATCCGTCTTAAAGGTAAGGAAAGTTTGAGCACTATCCACACACAGAGTAAATCTGAAGCTATATGACTGGTCCTTCATTATGACTGCCCAAGAAACATAATAGGCATAAGAGAGGAAGGATTTGAAAAAGTGAAAAACACTTCACAAAGCCAAAATTGAAGGAAGGTACCTCAAATATTATAAGCCCCATATATTAGATATTTTCCTTTTTCATTGCACATCTTGACTCCTGAACACTCCATGCAAAAGAATAATAATAAATTTCAAAATACACACTTATACATAGAGTGTTTACCAAAACAAGCTTCCTGCTTTTGATGACTTCCTCATCATCTTTCTAATGAAGGCAACATTTCCAAAATAAAATTCGTATTAAGCTTTTGGAAATAGTTAACAGAAGCAACTTCCCAAGTGGCTCAGACAGTAAAGAATCCTCCTGCAATGCCGGAGACCTGGGTTCGATCCCTGGGTTGGAAGGATCCCCTGGAAATGGGACTGGCATACCGACTCCAGGATTCTTGCCTGGAGAATCCCATGGACAGAGGAGTCTGGCAGGCTATAGTCCATGGGATGGCACAGAGTCAGACACGGCTAAAGCAACTCAGCATGGATGCAAGACACATGGTTACTTACTGTGGTAAACTCATGTATGTGTGTGTGTGTGTGTGTGTGTTAGTCGCCTAGTCGCATCCGACTCTCTGTGATCCCATGGACTGTAGCCCACCAGGCCCCTTGGTCCATGGGATTCTCCAGGCAAGAACACTAGAGTGGGCTGCCATGCCCTTCTCCAGGAGATCTTCCTGATTCAGGGATCGAACCCGCAGCTCTTGCATCTCCTGCATTGGCAGGCAGGTTCTTTATCACTAGCACCATCTGGGAAACCCATTTGACTTATAGTGAATCAAAAAATGCTTAGTGAGGCCACCAAATTCTCTGATCACTTCATCATCCTTCCTTCCCCTGTCTCTCAATGCCTTTTACTTTAAAATTAGTGTAGGGATGACTCCACCATTTGTTCCTCCTTTTATCTCCCTTAACATCTTTAATACCCTTTGTTAATATTTGTATGTTTAACCCACCACCCAAGGTTACAGTTACATGGTAACCAGTTTTATTACATGCCTCATCTTATAAATCTTATTTTTAAAGTGAGTGCAACAGTCAAAATCAGTTTGGAATTTTGAAAATTCAATAGATTCATACAAAAAAAACACTGAGTTTGAAATGATACAGCTGAATCACAAGTGTGTGTAGTTAAATCTCTACCAGGGCAATAATAGAACAGGAAAAAAATTTATAGTCAATTCATCTTGATACTCGTTAGCAGCTATGAACAAAAATATATTGATGTAGTAATAACTACAGACAGGTTATTAAAATTATCATAGAAACTAAACATATGGTCTTTCCTTGTCGCCTATTAATGTTCGATTGTATGATAATAGCAACAGTGCAGATACAACTTAGAGTTGACCCCTACTACACTTGCACCATAATAATACACACTAGGTATGCAAATAGCAAGTGGAGCGCTACCGTCTATAAGGTGCACCCTTGGAACTGATTAGATTTTTGAGCAAGATTTACTAGGCTCTTGCCTATTTCCATGCTATAAGCACAGACTAGTAAGAGGGTGGCTACTTATGGGTACAGGTCTTACACAATCCCAAAGTTTTCTTTTCCTAAAATTGATTGATCTTCATGGGGAATCAGACTTTGCAACCTCAGCATTGATAATACCATATGTCAAAGCAACCATAGAGTTGGTCTAAATCAGAAATGAATATATAGTCAGAACCACATTGAGTTTTCCATTAAACTGTCTATAAACAGAGATCCAACAGCAAATACCCATGGCATATTCTGCATGAGTCATGTCCTGGCTTAACCATACTCAGTCTCACCAATTGATTCTACAGCACAGGGTCCAAGAGAGAGAAGAGACACACTCTCCAAGTGCATGTAGTTTGGTACCCAAGGCAAAGGCCTGCTGCACACTCCCAGACTCCCAGAAGCCAAAGCCAGCTGAGGTGGTTGAATGGCATCACCAACTCGATGGACATGAATCTGAGCAACACCCAGGTGTTGGTGATGGACAGGAAAGCCTGGTGTGCTGCAGTCCATGGGGTCACAAAGTAGGACATGACTGAACGACTGAACTGAAATGGAGTGCTTCCTCCTTCCAAATATACTGTGGACTCTCCATAAGAAGCATAGTGAAAACCTAATGACCATGATTGGGTACTGTGTACCAATTACAAGAAAAAGTATGAGAGGACTGAGACTTTGTCTCTGTCCTCAGTACTCAAAAGAGGGCCTGACACAAACAGCAGCTCAATAAGTACTGAAACAAGTGAACACTGACTGGATTATAATCATGAGAGTTGCCCAGAAACCTTGCCTGAACAAGATACTATTAAGAGAAGTCAGGTTCTATATTAAGACCAGTGGAAGCAAGTTGTGCCTTTGAAACTGGCAAGGCAATGCAATCATTTCCCCTCAGTCTTGCAAAACAGTTTACAACTTCATCTATTTTAATAGGCCCCATTCTATGATACTAAGACTTCACTGATGAACTTTCCAGGCCTCCACTTAGGAAACTTATATTTGCATATTCTATCCCATAGGTGTGAAGTTGCAATGTATCTAAATTCTCACTTTCCTCTTTGGGGAGAATATATTCCATTCAAAGAGTTGTAAGGGTAACATGTAGTTTACCCATTGGGGCTTTTGATTTATTTCTAACACCTGCTGCTTAAAAGTCTGTAGGACTGAACTTTTATATGGTTATTTTAAAAAAAAGATAAAGATTGAAGCTATTATGAGACTAGCTTTTTTCCCAAAGAGCACATATACCTCAAGTCTTCTCTTAATATGTGTATAAGAGCACGGAGGGGTGTAATTTTGTTTATTTCAGAACTTCTCTTTCTTGAATTAAGAGCAAGCACTGTGTCTTAAGTAAGCAAACAAAATGGGTATGTGCATTTCTTTTAAAGAAACTAATTGGATTTAGGATGAGTTATCACCAGACCTTGCCAGTTTGTACTAATGTGCCTAACATGAACACAAAGAGTAAGCTCCAGGTGATAGAAGGAGCTTTAGCTTCATTCTCACTACAGCCAAAACTCTACTTTCATGCTTCTAATTTTAGTTGGGGAAAATCCAACCAGCACTTCTGGGTGTGCAAGGCTGTGGAGAATCACAGCCAAGCTCTGTGTGAATCAGTCTGCGTGGCTGTGAAGGAACCACGGACTGAATTGAATTTTTCAACTAAATATTTTCTTTGCAATTTCTCCATTGAATTTATCATAAGACTAATATATATTTTTTGATCTATATAAGGATTTTCTTCGAAATATTCCAGGAAGCATATTTTCAGCCAGTCTGTATGATGAATGGCTTGATGTTATTGATCAAGGCAATGAGGAGGAGAAAATAACTGCGACCCAGAGGTAATGATGCAATTTTCTCAACTCTGAGAAAATACAACCAACATACTCTTAGGAAAATATCAGCTTATAGTTTACAGCTGTGTCCACTAAACTAATGACCAGTATCAAAAGGCTTCACTTGATCATAGCCATGGAAGCCAGTTTGAAAAGAGATGCATGCCTTATTGGTGACATTGTAATTGGTGTTTTTCTCCTCATCTTATTAATATGGAATGCTTGACCATTTTACACCTTCTGAATACACGAAATTGTTGGAGATGAAATCCATTGGTCTAAAAAGAGATGATAAAGAACCAATCTGCCAGTGGTATGATCTTAAATACAAACACATAACTAACCAGAGCAGTTCTTACCTGGCTCAGGAATTAAATTCGGTGAAACATTTTTGTATGCATTCATGCCTGGAACTGTGAGAATGGACTGTGGACATGGTATAAAAAGAAGTACTTTGTTCTCTGTATTTCCACGTACTGACCAAAATGACTCGCTTTATTTATAAGTGCCTTTTTCTGTCATTAGGCTTCTAGACCAGCTGCCAAGAGCCAACGTAGTTTTTTTGCGTTACCTTTTTGGAGTGTTACACAACATTGAGCAACATTCCTCATCCAATCAGATGACAGCTTACAATTTATCAGTGTGTATAACCCCAAGCATTCTTTGTCTGCTTAATTCTGGCAGCACAGAATTAGAAAGCTTCACCAAAAAGGTAATGAGATCTCTCATTTTTATGCCTTGCGGGGCAGTGTCCCCATTTTGAACCTGAAGTCTGTGGTATTAACTCTGATGAACCAGTTTTTAAAGTGCACGTTTTAATTACACTGCCTTGGACTGGCAGAGTCCTACTCTGGTTGGGCATGGGAAGGTGTATTGCAACTGAGCACAGTTGAGTCACTTCTCCTTTGCCAGCCAAGAGATTAAACAATAGAGAGATAAGAGTAGGATGGTAGGATAGAAAAGAACCTGGCTTTGGTATCTGAGAACCAAGATTCAACTCTCAGCCTAATCACTGAGGGGTGTACAAACCTCCAAACTATGATTTCATCATTACACAATGATGACAACACCCGATACATCTGGTCACTCTCGCACATCTTAGGCGGCCTGGGCAATATGAGCACCCAAGGCTCCACACATACTGGCCTCACGCTGCCAGTTCTGGCTCATTCAGGAAAATACTTGGCTTCTATTGTGTCTCTGCTAGAGGATGAGGAAGCTAGTCAAATATTTCAGAACATCCTGACAGAGCCACAACATGCCTAAGAAGATCACAGCTCTTTTCCAAGCTCCCCTGGACAGCAAGTGTGAGGCAAGGCAATGCAGTTAGACAGACAGACATGTTTTCTCTCCAGATGCTTTCTTCCGTCACAAACCCCCCCACCCCACACAGCAACCTCTGCTACCCAAGTTTCAGATAGTTCTTCACTGAAGTGAATTTCAAAAGTTGAGTTGCATTTGATACTTTATAAAGCTTAATGAGATGCTATATATAAATTCTATCTCAATAAAATGAGAAAAAAATTTAATACAAATAAATAAAACTTAATAAGAAAATGTACATTTTTGTCCCAAGTATTCTATGTAGGCTACTTAAAAATCATCCTAGTTTTAAGCATGTAACAATCATTACAAAATTTTAGCTATTAAACTAGGCCACATATGATAACTTTAGTCCACCAACTAAAAGAATTTTAAAATTTTGCCCAAAGTACTCTTGAAAGTATTAGCTATTTCTTAGAAAAAGCTGATGTATATATAATATATATATTTTTTAAATCAAGTGAATTTTTCTCAGACTTCTCTTGCATTTTTTGTTAGAGCCAAGACTCATGTATGAAATGTGATTTACTATGACGCCATATGTACGGTAATACCCCATTTTTTGCCCCTCTGTGTTACAGATTTCTTTCATACAATTTCTCATTGAAAACTGTCTCAAGATATTTGGAGAAGATATCACTTCTCTCTTTGGAAAGAACTCAGTGAGTTGCGATAACAGTGATATCACTGATATCACTGATAACAGTGAGAAGGTTGCAGGTACGTGAATAATGTAACTGAATTTGATGCAAAAGACAGCAAGGCTGCCAGGGTCAATGGGAGATACTGGAGTCCAAAGCACATTCTAAGGGTAGTAATTTCCATCTGCTCCAAGACATGGGAAGTTTCCCACTTGTGAGATCAAAGAAACGATAAGACTGTTCTGATTTCAAGAAGCTACTAATACAGCTTTAGAAGACATCATGGTTCAGTTAAGTTCAGTTGCTCAGTCGTGTCCGACTCTTTGTGACCCCCAAGGACTGCAGTGACCCAAACTCCTTGGGGTCAAGGACTGCAGCGTGCCAGGCCTCCCTGTCCATCACCAACTCCCGGAGCTTACTTAAAGTCATGTCCATCGAATCAGTGATGCCATCCAACCATCTCACCCTCTCTCGTCCCCTTCTCCTCCTGCCTTCAATCTTTCCCAGCATCAGGGTTTCTTCCAATGAGTCAATTCTTTGCATCAGGTGGCCAAAGTATTGGAGTTTCAGCTTCAGAATCAGTCCTTCCAATGAACTGATTTCTTTAGGATGGACTGATTCCTTTAGGATGGACTGATTCCTTTAGGATGGACTGATGGACTGATTAGAAAGAACTGGATGAACTGGTTGGATCTCCTTGCAGTCCAAGGGACTCTCAAGAGTCTTCTCCAACACCACAGTTCAAAATGGACATCCCGGTAAAATATCACATTTGGAAATTTTTAAAATAAAACTTTAAATAAAACATGTGTAAAAGACGTGCTCTGGCTGAACCTGGAGTGTGGGGCCCAGGGCACTGCCTGGTTTATTCCCCTCTCCTTCCCTTTTCTGGTCAGTGATCCCTGAGGCACTGCAGGTTTCTAGTGCCTTTGCAATAGCTTGAAAAGAACCAGCATCATTGACAAAAAAAGGACTAAAGTAAAAAAAACTTTCCAGACTATAAACTCTTGTACCAGTATTTACCAGTTGCATTAACTTTGGCCAGTTATTCTAGCTCAGTTTCAGTTCCTTCATCTCTAAGATGTTAAAGAAAAGTATCTAAATCTTAGGATTGCTCTAAAGATTAAGTAAGATAATTGTTGTAAAATAAATCTGTAAAGAAGCAATTAATAGGTCTAGTAGAAGTTCTCATGAGATTAGAGTTAGTACTACTGGAGCTAGCTAATCACAGCTTCCTGGTAGCAGTTCATTTTTATAAGGCAGCATTTAGATTCACAACCTCAGGGCATGAATCATGAGTCCCTTTATATTTTTAATACCTCTTGGTTTTATGACACTTATCTCATTGCTTTGAGGAAATCTTTATGACAATCCATCTAATTAGGCATTTAGATGAGTCTAAGCTCAAAATTCAGAAAACTAAGATCATGGCATCTGGTCCCATCACTCCATGGGAAATAGACGGGGAGACAGTGGAAACAGTGTCAGACTTTTATTTTTTGGGGCTCCAAAATCACTGCAGATGGTGATTGCAGCCATGAAATTAAAAGTAGCTTACTCCTTGGAAGGAAAGTTATAACCAACCTAGATAGCATATTAAAAAGCAGAGACATTACTTTGTCAACAAAGGTCCATCTGGTCAAGGCTATGGTTTTTCCAGTGGTCATATATGGATGTGAGAGTTGGACTGTGAGGAAAGCTGAGCACTGAAAAATTGATGCTTTTGAACTATGATGTTGGAGAAGACTCTTGAGAGTCCCTTGGACTGCAAGGAGATCCAACCAGTCCATCCTAAAGGAGATCAGTCCTGGGTGTTCATTGGAAGGACTGATGCTGAAGCTGAAACTCCAATACTTTGGCCACCTCCTGCCAAGAGCTGACTCATTGGAAAAGACCCTGATGCTGGGAGGTATTGGGGGCAGGAGGAGAAGGGGATGACAGACGATGAGATGGCTGGATGGCATCACCGACTTGATGGACATGAGTTTGAGTAAACTCCGGGAGTTGGTGATGGACAGGGAGGCCTGGCATGCTGCGATTCATGGGGTTGCAAAGAGTCCGACATGACTGAGCGACTGAACTTAATACCTGAGAATATGTTCAAACTAAGACAACTGTTTGCTTTCATTTCATCAGTGACAACAGAACAACCTCGTGAATCCAAGCCAGTGAGAGTGACAGTGATTTACAGAAAGGTACAACTGCAGTATGATGCCATGACCTCATCAAGGATGGGTCCATCTACTGACCTGTCTACAGTTTTCTAAGTTCCTGAAGATTACAGTGCCCATAATCACACTTTACCCTTCCCTTTTTTTTATCCTATAATATCTCACTTGAGAAAACTGTTTTTACAAAACATTTGCATGATTTTGTTGAGTTTGAATTAAATGATCAGATCTCATCCAGAAATAAATGAATTTCCTGGCACAAGAATGAACATGAGGCACTTAAACCAAGAAAATCACTTTGGATCATTCAGTGAAAAGTAAGACCTTTCAATGTCCCAGCTTATACCATTTCAGTTTTTCTTGATCCCATATATCCGTATTTGAGAAAATATTCCCCCCAAAATATCTCTTCTTTCATTCCTACCATATTATGTTGTTTTTTTGTACTGTACTGTACATTTTTATATCGATGCAATAAAAATAGGTTAAACAATCATTTCATTTGCTTATCATTTATTTTAACACTGGGAGACGCTCAACTGGCAGTTTGGGTCTCAACTAAGATCACTTAGGAACCTGTAATCAGTTGGCAGCTCAGCTGGAGTAACCTACGTGTCTGCTGTTTGAAGCTGGCTCTGGGCTGATCCCCATGTCTTCAACCAGCAAACCGGCCTACTTCATGTGGTGGAAGAAGAGTTCCCAACAGCAACAGGGGCTTTTCAAGAGTCAGCGTAGAAGAGGGCTCCATAGAAGACTACAAAGACAATGAGTTATTCACTATTTGCTGAGGAACGAAAGGGAGTTCCAGAAAAACGTCTGTGTCTGCTTCACTGACTATGCTAAAGCCTTTGACTGTATGTACCCATGGTGCTCAGCTGTTTCAGTCGTGTCCAACTCTTTGCAATCCTATGGACTGTAGCCCACCAGGCTCCTCTGTTCGTGGGATTTTCCAGGCAAGAATACTGGAGTGGGTTTCCATTTCCTCCTCCAGGGGAATCTTCCTGATCCAGGGATCAAATCCATGTCTCCTGAGACTCCTGTGTTGAAGGTGGCATCTTTACCTGCTGAGCTATCGGAAGCCCTTTGACCATGTGGATCACCACAAACTATGAAAAATGCTTAAAGAGATGCGGGTACCAGACCACCTTACTTGCCTCCTGAGAAACCTGTATGCCAGTTAAGAGCAACAGTTAGAATTGGACATGGAACAAAAGACTGGTTCATAATTTAGAAAGGCTGTATATCATTACCCTACTCATATAATTGATATGCAGAGTATATCATGCGAAGTGCTGTGCTGGATGAATCACAAGTTGGAATCAAGATTTCTGGGAGAATTATCAACAACCTCAGATATGCAGATGATACCACTCTAATGGCAGAAAGTGAAGGTGAACTAAAGAGGCTCTTGAAAAGGGTGAAAGAGGAGAGTGAAAAAGCTGGTTTGAAACTAACCATTAGAGAAAAACTAAGATCATGGCATCCAGTCTCATCACTTCACGGCAAGCAGAGGGGAAAAAGTGAAAACAGTGACAGATTTTATTTTTTGGGCTCCAAAATCACTGCAGACTGTGATTGCAGCCATGAAATTAAAAGATGCTTGCTCCTTGGAAGGAAAGCAATGACAAATCTAGATAGCATATTTAAAAGCAGAGACATCATTTTACCGACAAAGGTTCATATATTCAAAGCCCTGGTTTTTCCAGTAGTCATGTATGGATGTGAAAGTTGGACCATAAAGAAGGCTGAATACTGAAGAATTGATGCTTTTAAATTGTGGTGCTGGAGAAGACTCTTAAGAGTCTCTTGGACTGCAAGGAGATGAAACCAATCAATCCTAAAGGAAATCAACCCTAAATATTCATTGGAAGGACTGTTGCTGAAGTTCAATACACAAAGAGCCAACTCACTGGAAAAGACTCTGATGCTGGTAAGGACCTAAGGCAATAGAGGCAGTGGCAGAGGATGAACGGGTTAGACAGCATCACCAATTCTCAGTAGTGAGATAGTGGAGGACAAAGGAAGCTGGGTGCTGCAGTCCATGGGGTTTCAAAGAGTTGGACACAAATTAATGAGTGAACAACAATAATACTGTAACTTACCGCACATGAAAACAAAACTCAAGACAGCACAACAGTCACACACATCCTTTTATACATCAGCTTTTAACCCTCCATTCTTTAGACTAGCATTTCCCAAAGGGTATTAGCAACCATGGTAATGAATATCTTTGAAAGAATAATTGAGGTTTTTTTCCCTCATATTTCTTAGCTCTTCCTTTCTCCTTGTCTTGAGCTGTCTTAAGGGACAGCTAGATCATTTCCTCAGAGGAGAAGAAATTACAGAAGTATAAGAGAAAAAAAGAGCACTTTGTTGCCTATGAGTTTTGAGAACATAGTTTCCTAGGAAACAAAAACCATGCCTGGCAGAGGGTGAAGATCTCGGTAGAGACCTCATGGGAAAAGCCTGAACTCATTAGGGGCACAGGATACATGCCACGTTTCATAAGTAGAGACCAAGAGGGATTAGGACGCCCCCACAGAACAATTACATAACAAGTCCAAGAAAGATGGAGCATTGTTTATTCATACAGAATTTCTCGTACCTCAACATGGAACAGATCAGTGAAATTATTCCCATCAACATGAGAATTACAATATGGAAGGAACAAAGAGAACCAGTGGATTTCAGTAACACATGTCTCAGGCCCATCACCTGGGACCAGAGAGCAAGCAGGACATTTCAGCAGACATCCAGCGTACACAGATGATACAGTGGATACATGTCACACCTCATTCCACAATGACCTAGCTCCTTAGCATTAGAAGACTCCATAACATGGATACATTCATGGAGAAAATGGAAAGATCTTGAATTTCTGTCAATCTGGGAACAAAGGATTAAACTAGAAATAAAATGTACTATTTAAAACTATAGAACAGTACATATCTTAATATATTACAGTTTGCAGACTGAGATTGATACCAATATAGATAGAATACTTGATCCATGCACTGTTTCCCTAGCAAGGGTTCCATGGTCAAATAGGTTTGGGAAATGCTGTATTTTCCTACTGGAAATCAAAATACCCATTAACATATTAATGTCTTAGAGAAGACTCACAGTAAAGAAACTCAGTATTTTCCACATGTGACCTGAAGGATCCTTTTGGAGGAAACTTATTAATGAATGACCCTAGGAACATACATAAATAAATACTGCTCTTAATTTATCTTCTTAGGTTACAGAAGATCCTCTACAATGCAACCTGCTCCAGTAATCCATTTTTCTTCACTATTTCTCAGTGTAGATCCTTTTCTTTAGCTAGGTCAGACACTTCACTGTTTTCTGAACAACATACACACATGTCTCTAAGCATAATTATCAACTCCTCTTTGTCTCTAAGTATACACAAACTAGATAGCTACTTGGGTTCTACTCTCAGAAATTTCACAAAAGACATCTGTGACCATTCCAGCTCAAATTAATTGCCCTTTTATAATGCATGAACATTTGACCCCATGAGATATTGGCTCATATGCTGCTTTGCACCATCAGGAATTACATTGGTATTTTTATACATAGCTCAACAATCCAAATTCCTGTGGTAAATGATTATTCCTTGTGTTAATTTTATATTACTTTTAATGCCTGGGTAAAAATCTACTAAAAAAGGTATAAATGAATTTGTGAACTTAAGAGTACAGAAATTTTACATTGATTGGTAATGACTGCAAATTTAAAACTGAAGAGGTAGAAAACAGCACAAATGGAATTTCAGTAAGTAGCAGTAAGACATGTTTTAGATATGACTTTACAGTCTTTACTGTTCACAAGTTCTGGTAATCACTGTTCTTATTCATCTTGCAAAAATTGGATATTGGTGTGATATATTTGGGAATAACTGCAAGTTTGTGTAAATTTTCTTTTAAATAGAAACAATTCCATAACAAAAAGGGGTTAAAAACATGGCTGGACAGTGTATCTGTGAGTTTTTGAGCCAAGAAAGATATACAAAAGTCCCTCAAATCTGAAAAAGAGAAATAACAGGAGGTAAACAAAAGCTGTAAATAGTCTGTCAACTGTAACTCACAGAGGAGATTCTTGCCATGTGGAAATGGCCAACAAAGGTTAGCTTTCCCCTAGGATACTCACCGAGAAAGTCAAGTTATTAATTTTAGAAAAGATCCTAGGAACTGATAAACTATAAAAGGACCCATTTGTCTAACTTAGAATGAATAAAAAGCAATTAGATTTTCTGATATTAGTTTTTACCATAGTTAGTAAGATCTGTGTAATCATCAGACAACCTTCACTTAGTGATGTAATTAAGGTTAAATATTTTCAGAAGTAAAGCAAAGATACTAAGGATGAAAATCTTGGTTTATTCCAGAAAGAAAGCTACTCAAAGGCTTTAAGAGGAAACTAATTCTCTTTACAGTGATTAATAGTTATGATATATTGACTAGTATATTCAATTTTTTATTCCACTGCATTAGCTATATCTCATAAATTCTTTTTATTTTTTAGTATTTTAGTTTTTTAGCCATTCAGTTAATACATGTTATAATTCTCTTTGTGAATTATTCTTTAATCCATACATTGTTTAGGCTTTTTATTTTTTCAGTTTCCCAACCTGAAGTATTTTCATTACTATTTGTAATAGTTGATTTCTAATTTTAATAGAGTAGTGACTAGATAATACGCGACTGATTGTGATTCTTTATGACTGCAAGCATATAGTAAATTTTAAACTTTTAAATGTTGTATGCATGCTTTAGAAGAGTGTGTATTCTCTGTTGTGTTCTCTTTTGGGTACAAATATATATATATATATTTAAAATCATGCTGTATGCTCAAATCCTCTCTGTATATTCTCCAAATTAGCTTCTAAGAGAGGTGTTAAATTCTCCCATATGATAGTAAGTTTGTCAATTTTATTTTGTAAATCTGAGTTTTTATAGCTGTTTTTTTCTGGAGGGGGGTTACAATCTACATCTATATTAAGCATACACAAAGTTATAATTTTTATACTCTTTTCATAAATATTCTTTATTAATGTTAATGCATCTGCTTTATATTCTATTTTGAATAAT